CGATCCATCGGTTTGTTACAATAGATAAAGGAAAGTATTTATCCCGAGAAGAAGAAGGAGTCCATAATAACGACTTATTTGGTAACTCGAGGGTTACGATTGAAAGTACAACATAGTACGATAAGCAGATGCAAGATTGGGCATCGTCTGTGGTCCAGAAAGCCATAAAGTTAAATACTCTTTTGAGGAAACATAGAATTTACGGTTATTACCTAGGATGAAGAGATAGCGTATGGAATCATTATACAAGTTCTATTTTCGTTGATGATTCCGGGACGTAATCATCCTAAGGGGGAGATAATTGTAACGCCCGTAGATCAGTGTTAGTCAATTTAGAGACGATAGGCGTCAAAAATGAATTTTTTGATGAAAGATTATTTAGAATAAATAATCTTAACTAAGTTTTGGTATATGTTACAAGGATTCCGTACATATAAAAAACGCCGAAATCCGAGTTATAACGAAGAAGTTATGACCTGTCGAAGTTTCGCGACAAACCGGCACGACACAGCGCAACGTAAAAAGTGAATTTATGTTAGAGCGATATTTAGCCTTAGTCATCTAAATGAAAGTCGTAGAATACGTTAAACCGTGAGCGTGCATAAAAAGAACGCCCAAATATGACTTCGTATGAGGAAGTTATGATTTTTCGAAGTTTCGACTTAGCGGTATGCAGCCGGAATACTCGATCCGAGACCGAACGGTTTTTAGTCGAAAAAATCTAAATGAGAATCGAAGATCTCATTAATTGTAGTAAAACGATAAAAAGATGGGCGAAAACGGACGTCGGATGAAGAAGTTATGATTTTATAACGGAGTTTTCCTGTCCCGACCTACTAAAAATAAATAATAAAAATAAAGCCAAAATTAGCCGACAGAGTCTAAATGAAAGTTGTAGAGCATAGTCTCACCTACGCGGGGATATAAAGAACGTTGAAAAAGGAGTTCGTATGAGGAAGATATGAATTTTTGAAGTTTATTAAATATTTTCGATATTTAATTTAATTATAAATTAACCGATATTATCCATGGGGGGAGTTAGCGATCTGATCCACATTACGCCCAGCGTAATTTAGAATTATGCCCAGCGTAATTTGGGTTTCCAGCCCCCTATAAAAGGGTGTCGAGGGCAACCGAGTTCTTTGCTCATTTCTTCCCTTTCTCTCGCGTTTTGCATCGTTTTTCGTGCAAAAATTATCCCGAAGCCCCGTTATCATTCCCGAGCCCCGAAGCAAGTCCCAAGTCCCCGAAGATCCCGAGAAGTGCAATTCCCGAGCCGAAGCTCTGTCCGCAAGAAGTTCGGTTTTTGTGAAGATATTCCAGATCTACCGAAGAATACTACTTCTACAAGCCGTAGTGCTGTCCAATCATCTTCTGATCAAGTGAGTGTGTAGTTACTTTCTTCTAACGCATGATTATGAAGTATTTTATATGAAATACGTGTTATGTGTATAATATATAGTTGTTTATATGTGTGAGTGTATAGTCACTTTCATCTTACACATAGATCTGAAGTATTTGCTATGAAATACATGCTATGTGTTTATACATTGTTTGTTTACTTGAGATGGATGTTGAATGAATGTTTTATACGAGTTTTTAAATAAGTTGTATATGTAATTTATATCTACAAATATGTTGGGTAGAATATGGGTAGATGAAATAGTTGATGTGTGTTGAAAGAATGTGATAAGAGAAAGGTGAGGATATAATGGTGATGATAATTAGGTGATGATAGATAGGTGATGAATTACGAGTCCATGTGATGTTGTGCCTACGTATTCATGCGATGATAGTCTATCCCTTATTATGAATTACGAGTCCAAACAATGTTGTGGCTACGTATTCATGCAATGATATTCTATCCCTTATTATGAATTACGAGTTCAGGCGATGTTGTGGCTGCGTATTCATGCGATGATAGTCTAACCCTTATTATGATTTACGAGTCCAGGCGATGTTGTGGCTGTGTAATCATGCGATGATACCCTAACCATTACTAGACATATATTGAGGGAGTGATCCCCGAATTAGCATTGTATATATGATACAGGCGATGATCCTTAGGAAAAGTTCTTAGGAACAAGCATATAAGGATATAAGATGTAAGGAGATGAGCGGTAAATATGATATAGGAGATGACCCTTAGGATAATATATTTAGGGAAGATTAAAAGAAGATAATGGGGATGGGTAATTGGGTTGATTGTTTGATGATTGAATATAATAATTATATTATTGTGGGTTGAAAACCCTATATGCTCACCAGGCTGCCAACCCTGACCCACTCAGTTTAATTGTATCACAGGTATCGATACGAAGCTGCTTTTCACTGAGAGATTAAAGGAGATGTAAATCTTTAGTGTAATTGAATGTAAGTTCTGTTTATGCTTATATGTCTGTATCGGAACATGACATCCCGAGGTTTTATTATTAAATGAAAATACATTCTCTTTGAGAAATGTTTTGATAAGTTATTATCATATCTTGTTTTGGGAACAAATTCCGCAACCGTTTTCTTTAAAAGATTACTCTGATTTTATAAAACAAAGCATAAACAAATCGATCTGTTCTGGCCGTGAAAATGGGGATGTCACATTTTCATTTCATGCATGGCCTTTTGGAGCTTAAAAGGCCAAAATAACTCCTTATAACTTGCATGGGGCTTCCATGGTCATAAATTTTCCACCTTTATGCCATGTGAGCCCCTCAAGATCATAGATATGAAGGTTTAGACACTTAGGACGTCCCTGTCTCGAAGATCATGATTCTTGGACCAAAAACCCCATAAAATGATAACAAGGAGATCTATCAAGCTAATATGCAAGTTTGAGATTTGCTCACCAGAAAATGAAGATGATGAGATGTTGTTTTTGGATCTACTAGCTTCCTTCTGAATCCTCAGCTCCTCCTTCTTCAACAAGCTTCAAAACACACAATATTCACTAAAAAAATAACTCACAAGCTCATACAATGCACTAGGGTTTCATGGATTAGGGTTTGGTACTTGGAGGCTGGAAATGAGGCCAACAAGTGGGGATTAAGATGCTTAAATAGGGTGCAAAACACCGAAATTAGGGTTTCATTCTGGCAGACCTACTCGCTGAGTTAAGGCTCTCAACTCGTCGAGTAGATTGCTTAAACCCACGTCCCTTTCTAGTCTCTACTCAACGAGTTTGGGGTACCAATTCGTCGAGTTGCTTTATAAAAATGAAAGAGTTAATATTTAAATGCGTACCAGGAACTAGGAGTTACAGAAATTCACTAAGCTTTATGCTTACTCAGTTGTTTATTGTTTCGGGTATTATCGGTTATCATGGGAAGACAAATGCGTGACTGTACACACTTATCAGCATCAATGAAGATTATACGCTGTAATATTACTCTGATTTTCAATAAATGTATTTTAGAACATCCAGTTTTCTTAATAAAGGATTTTTAGTTGGAAGTTTTACTTTAATAAAATGAAAATTTTTTATTGTGAAAATGGGACATAAATGATTTTATTTTACGAGACAACACAAAACCTTTATATTAAAAGTCAATTTCAAATAACTCATACGAAATATGTTTAAGATAAACACCAAGTTTGCACTTGAGGTTGATCTTTTGGAATACCCCATTAAATACAAACACAAATACAAAATTAGAGATGCTTTTCACCTTAAATTAAACAATAATAGAAACAGTTGTGGACAAGAAGAAACAATTGGAAAAGATAGGGTCCAATAATTTTGTGGAAAATTAAAAGATGAGAGATAGAGGGAGATAGGAGTAAAGGGCAATTTATATTTGGTTAACGATTATGTGACCTACAATACAAGTTGGTTAGGGCATGGGACCCACCACTTTCTTCAAAGTTTCATGGTAGGCCCCTCCAAGTCTGATAAGTCTACACTCTCCTTTTCAACAAGTCAAATAAGAAAAAAAAAATAAAAAAAATCACTCCAATCCCCAAATTCAGTAATTAATCTCATAACAAAATAACAATAACAACATCAATTACTTCAACTACATTTATCACATCATGAAAAGCATTAAAAACATTAAAAAATTTGTTTGTTACATAAAGCAATGATTGAGAGTGAGTCTCGGTGTACTATGTCCAAATACGTTAAAACTTGTTTTCTTCTTCCATCACTTTACAAGATAGATCACAATTGTTCATAAAGTTAAACATGATCAAACATTCAAACTAAATTTTAAGGAATCAATAATTGTAGGATGGTTTCAAGGATTTTAACCCTAGATAAGGGTAAACTTGTCATTTCAAGATAAATTGAAATCACTTCTTTCTTACATATCAACAAAGGCAAATAGATATCAAACTTTTACCAAAGGGGGAAACTTGCAACTTGCAAGCAAACATGTTCTATTCTTTCCTTGTGCAATAAACACTATTTTTATTTTATTTTTATTTTTTCTTCATGTCCTACTGTGACCACTTGTATTCCATGGTCCCATTTCAGTTTTTATAAAAATTATCCAACATTTAGAGTTGCCAACAAGACATTTATATATAAAAAGTTAAAACAAACTTAAACCCTTTTTAATAAACGAAAAACATGAAATAACAAAAGGGTGTTTAGTGGGACACTTCTTAACATGGGGATATTAAACGTAAGGTGTGCCAGTGTATCTTGATTAAGATGTTTTGCTTCTAAACCCAAAGCACAATTCCCATTTTACCCTCCATCTTAATCCTATAGTTAGCTTGATCTCGATAGTCTTGTTTTTTTTTTTTTTTTTTTTTTTTTTTTTTTTTTTTGTATTTATGAAGTTGTATTAATCTTTTAAGCTTATGAAAATTTAAAATCTTTAATAAAAAAAATTGATAGCAGCCTTTTTTAAATTTGAATGCCAGCAGCAGCCAGCAAAGACGTGTTTGACTAATTAAACTTTGTGTCATCTCATAAAATGATAAAATAAATCTCAACATCAAGAAAATGAAAGAAAACATATAACCCAATGATTCAACATTGGAATGTGATTGTATTAAAACATGCATTCTTTTTTCATCTATCACCATTTTTTTATACAAAAAAACATGGTTAAAGATCATTAGCCTCTATTTACATATTTCAATGAAGTTACTTTCGGAAAGACGCCTAAATTTTATCCTTTTGTAACAATTTGGTTGTATATTTGTTGTTGCACTTTGAGGTTCGTGACCATTGTTCCTACAAAAAACAACATAAAAAGTTATTCTTTGAGAATCATGTTTTAATGGTCAAAGAAAAGACGTACCTTGAGGAACAAGGTTTGACCAAGATTTTGTGGCATGTTGTAGTGCCTTGGAAATCAAGAAAAGTGAAGCCTAAAAGTTTGAATTTTTCGGATTCTGTCATCACTGAGAAGCCAAAGGATCTTGTCCAAGTGTGTAGAACGCTTGAGACAGCTGGCAAAACTAATCTCTTCACTCCTAACTCTGTAAGAATCTACAATAAACAAAAAAGTTGGATTCTATAATATCCATATCACTAAATGACAAATAAAGGAATCTTGTAGTGTCGTATCATATCATATCAGATCAGATGTAAATTGGATACACAGTGGTCCCCCACTATATTTATTTACCTTTTCAAGTTGGTGCATGAGAATATGACACATTCCACGTCTACGGTATTGGAATCGTGTTCCAACAAGTGGGATTTCCGCTACTTTTTCTCCATAAACCCTTTTTATAAAAATAAAAATAAATAAAAAAGTTTCAATCTTTCGAGATGAATATAAATAAGGACACAAAATTAGGAGATTTAATAACTTAGAAATGTTAAATCACACCTTAATGTAGCAGTTGAAATTAGCTCATCACCTTTCTCCAAAAAAACAGTGTAAAAACCCTTAAAGTTCAACCGACGTAGCTCTGACCTTAATACCAAAAAAAAAAAAAGAGATCATGAATAAGGAAAAGAGTTATTACATTTTTGGTCCTTGGGTATAACCGATTTTTGCAATTTTGATCCCAAAAAGTTTTCTCTTGCAATTTTGGTCTTTATTTGAGGCCTCTTGTAATGTGTTTGATCATTGTTCCAAATAAAATGACTTTTTTGCCCCTAGAATCTCTAAATATAGCTGATTTTTTCATTTTTGGTCCGAAAAAGATAAGTCTTTTTACATGGAACATGGACTAAAATCTCAAAGAACGAGAAAAATTGCAAGAGGAAACTACTTAGGACCAACATTGTAAAAACCAGCTATCTTCAAGGACCAAAAATGTAAATTTCTTTATCTCACCATCTACAAAAGATAACATCTTCAACAATATCTCTCCCAGTGCGAGCTTCTTTAACTGGCTCAAAGCATTCATGCATGACACTAATAGCAACATTCAACTTGCTATAATTCTCTATTATTTCCTCCATATTTAAAGCTTCATCATTAGAAGTAGAAGAACATTCAAATGTCTTGTTTTTTCTTAAGGTCCATGTTAAGTTATCCTTATCCCTCCCAACTGGAATCGACTTCCCTAAAACCCTTTCAAGACCCCTAAATATCTGCAATTTCCCAAAACTTTATCAATATATCAATCATAAAATGATTAAAATCTCTAAAAAGATATTATAAACTTGAAAGCATACATACCTCTTCACATCTTGAACTACAAAACCAATTTGCTTCAAGATAACTCCCCACCTTTCTTTTTAAACACCCTACATGATCTACATAAGTTTAAAAAATCAATAAGTTTCATGCTTTATCATAACAAAAACAAAAAGAGATTGGATTGAAGAATGAAGACTACATACATCGTTTGTCACATTGTTCACAATTTATCATTTCACTATTTGTATTTTGTTCACTAAATCTGTTCTCATTACATATTCTACAACAGCAAGATGGACAAAACCATTCACCATCAGGAACCTCCTAACAAAATCAAAAACTATTCATCAATATAAAATTATAAAATTTAAACAATCAAGAAACATATACATATATATATATATATATATATATATATATATATATATATATATATATATATATGTATATAAAACACCAATTTCTTTTTTACCTTTAATCCCACGCAAGATTTGTGAAATGAAGAAGGGCATTGATCACATAACACTAACTCCCCTCCATATTGACAAACAGAACATATATAATCATTTTCATTCACCATTTCATGTTGGTTTCCTTTTGGATTTGACTTTGAACTTTGATCAAGTTTAATTTGCAATTGACAATAGAGTAATGATCTTCCATCTTCAAGAAATATGTTAGCAGAAGCTCTCCCATAAGAGCTTCCACCATGAGATTGAAACTTCAAGAGGCTAAAAGTAGATTGACAACAACTACACTTAATCCCCTCACGAGTTATTCGACCTTCCTTCATTGTAAAACCATTTTTCTTACAAATATATTTCACTTTTGCTCGAGGCAAAACAACATTATTATCAATCAACCAAGATAAAACAGTTCTTGGGGTTTGAAACAATGAAGAAACGTCTTTTCGTGCCCTTTTGCTTGATCTTAACACATGGGTATTAGTAATAGTCATCAAAGATTCGTCTTTTTTTATTGGGGATTCAGTATGCAAAAGACCATTTTCGTTCTTGAAAGTCTTGTTAAAGTCAAAGCAAAAGGATTCCTTGATATAATGACTACAGGCTTCATGAAGACTGTAGAACTTTCTTCCATTTGGTGAACTGTAAACAATTACCTTCCTACCAGAATCATGTTCTAGATGAAAATTCGACCACCCAACAGCAAAAAGATGCTTTCTTGCATGAATTTGAAGTTTTTTAAACTTATCATCTCTCATCTTTTGTAAGTCAATGTTTGGTGCTGATATCAATGAGTAATAGTCAACTACAGCTTGTGGACAGTATTCAGATTCAACAACGTGTAAATCTTGTATTTGTGGTTCTTCTTTGGTGGATGCTGATGATGTTAAAGATTCAAGATTCTTGACATTGAATGAATTTGA